ATCCTCGAGCTTGAGGAGTGATGATCTGTGGCTTGTCATGGGGGATTTTAATGACCTCATGTTTGCCTCTGAAAAAGGGGTCGGATTCCTCACCTGCCTTGGCTTCTGAGGGGATTTCGCGAGACGGTTTGGGAAAGTGGTTTGAGGAATTTTACCTTCCATGGCTATCAGTACACTTGGGAGAGGTGGAGAGGGACTCCGAATTGGGTCGAGGAAAAACTAGACAAAATTTTAGTGACAGAGAATTAGCTTGATTTTTTCGGGGAAACGGTGGCGGAATCTTTAGATGGGGCTCCCATTGATCACTTGGCGCTACTCATTAAAAAATTTCCAACGCAAAGATTCTTAAGGAAACGAAATTTCAAGTTTGAAAATGTTTGGCTCCGTGAAGATGACTGCCGGGAGATTGTGGCTCGAAGTTGGGGTTTGGGATGTGATCTTGGTACCATGGGACAGGTGGCTTCTTGTGGTAGAGCATGATAAGACCGGCTCATATGGGAAACGTTTTAATTTCTGCAGAAAAAGAAGGGAGCATCTCTGAAAAAGGTGGGATTCATGGGGTGTAGGGGAGTTCGAGAGAGTTCAAAAGGAATATCTTGAACTTCTTGAAAAAGAAAATATTTTTGGGAGACAAAGGGCAAAGGAATTCTGGCTTCAAGGAGGTGATCTCAATACCCGTTATTTCCATATCTCAGTTAAACAGTGTAGAAGGAAGAATAAAATTGACGGATTCCAGTTGGGATTCTTCGCCCCAAAAAAGGGTTTGTCAATTTGACTTTTCTTTTTTAATAAAAACTATTTTGAATATAAAAATATATTAAAATGTTCCGTATTAAAAATATTTTCATTAAAATATAAATTTACAAAATATATACAAATATAATAAATTAAAATCTCATCCAAAGTTTACTTACATTGACCAAGAAAGGTCAATATGACAAACAATTTTAAGACAGAAGTAGTATATTTTGATGGTTGAAACTTGACTGAGGATAACCAAACTATATAAAATTACAGGACTTGATGATAAATAATACTCTTGCGGACCATATTGAGAAATAAAATATATTTTTCACATATAACTTTAGTTGAAGCTAAAGTCAATACAATATCAGGTATTGCGAAGCTCATTGAAGGCTCTGGGAAAACATATGTGATGTTCTCGAGTGGGACAAAAATAATTATAAATGACGCTCAAAAATAATTATAGAAGGAATTTATTGAGTTTTAAAGATATGCGTCAAAATGGTTATCACATAGAAACCATGAATGAAAATTAAAAGGAATATTTTTGTCTTACGACATCTAAATCTGACACTAAATATATTTGTGAAAAAATGCCAACATATTCTTCAAGACTATATTTCACATATATTAGTCCATTCGAAATAAATTTGGTTTCTAACACAAAGTTTGATGATTAGAAAACATTCGTGTTGTGGCATGACTGTTTAGGTCACCCAGGCCATGTAACTTTAGCTTCAACTAAAGTTATTTGAGAAAAATATATTTTATTTCTCAAAATGGTGTGCGTTGTGGCTCTGTCTATCACACATAGCTCCTTGACATTTGAATCCATATCTTCAATATATATATATAAACATAAGCTTGATATGAAAATATTACAAATTATGCATCATATATAACATTAAAGGACATATATTACACATTTATTTATAAACATAAAAAGGAAAGAAAGGAAAATTACATAATACATAATAACATAAACTACTATTTTACATTATGTAAAAGTCCTACAGATTATTTTGTATCATTTTGATAAGTGGAAAAAGCATCGTCCATTATGCTATCATCCAAAAAGAAGTTAGACACATCAAATTTTGGCAGAGGTGGAGTTGTGTCATTGACATAATTAGCTTCCACATTTTTGGCTTTGTTGAGATTCATCGAAGCTTGAAATAATTCCACTAGATGCTTTGTAATATGACATTTGTTAGCCCAGTGTCCTGTCATGCCACACTTGTAACAAGTCGTCTTTCCCGAGGATTTTGAAGAGCGGTTTATTTGATGATCTTTTTGTTTGCCCTTACCCTTACAATTTGGTTTGTCGACCTGTTTATAACCTCGGGTAGGCTTGTTACTATGACCACTAAAATGCCCACGTTTGAAATACCTTCTCATGCCACCGTGTGTTGCATTTGATTCAGTGGCTAAATTATGGCCAGATGGATCATAAACCGAAGGACTAGGACCAGTGGGTCTCAGATTGTGATTTTTCATCAAAAGATCATTATTTTGCTCAGCTACCAATAATATTGATATTAAGTCAGAGTATTTTTTTAGAACCCTTTTCTCCATATTGCTGCTATAGCAGCATATTAGAAATATACATAGTAGAAAAGGTTTTCTCCAATATATCAGCATCCTTGTTCACATAACTTTAATTTGGATGTTATTTGGAACATTGCAGAATTATAGTCATTGATAGATTTAAAGTCCTGGAATCTTAGATTGATCCACTCATACTGAGCTTTAGGCAAAAGGACCTTTTGTTGGTGATCATACCTCTCTTGTAAATTGTTCCATAATTCTTTTGGATCATCAACCAAAACATATTCAGATTTAAGACTTTCATGGAGGTGGTGACGAAGGAATATGATAGCTTTCGCTTTGTCTTGGGAAGATGAATGATTATTAGCCTCAATTGTTTCTTCTAAACCGTTGGCCTTAATGTGTCAGAGCATCGACTTTCCATTCAAGGTATTTTTGACCAGACTGATCAAGGACGTCGAATTCTTTTTTGCTTATGTTGGCCATTACATAACTACAAAATTTGTTGTGTTAAATTTAGTTAGTAAAGTTTATATATAATCAGTAATACTCAAGAGTACATTAAATAATTGATAGTGATACATAGTCATTAATGTAAACAACATACTCCGTATATTGATTTGTCAACGATTAATAAGTTAATTTTATTGATTTATTTGTTTTAGAATAAAACTTTATAAAACACACAAACTTGTAATTGTTATGTTTATATTATGTATATCTATATATTTATATAATTATATGTACATAGGCATATAGATATGTAAGTGTATAGGTTAATAGCCTTTGTTTTAATTAATTTATTGTATCAGTGGGTATTAATTTTAAATTACTATGTTACTGAGTGAGTGAAGTTTGATTTATATCACACGTGATAACAAAAAAACAAAACACCTCTCTGATCAAGACAAGATCATATCATCTAGTAGATTTTATAATATTAACTAAATAATGATCTGCAAAATTCTGCATGCAAGACATGTAACTCATTTCTCAACCTAGCCCTTCACTTTTAATATATATCCTTGTTAGCTTCTTCTTTTCGGTGTTTACTTTCTTTTCTTTACTGCTTATTTTATTCATCATTTATCTCTTGGTTTTTCCGTTCTTTATTCTCTACTCCTTTATTATTCACGAAATATCCTCTCTATATAGACTCTTGTATTTCTCTTTCACTGTTTTTCCTTTACTTACTACTCTATTATTAGGATGCACACACAATCTTCTAATTTGCTATCAACTATGAAGTGTATTTTCTCAAGTCATATTATTCTTCGGCTACATCATTTTACAAGATTGTACTATATATCAAGGAAAAAATATCCTGAAGCCTTGAAGGTACGTATATTATTCATTATTAATTCTTTTAGTATAATCATGATATGTTCAATTTTATTTAAAGCTGAGCTAAGCTTTCTCTTAGTGTTGGATTCGGTTCGGGCCACCCGGCCCGTGACCCGGCCCGGCCCGGTCGGGCAGTTCGGGACCGGGTGTAGACCCGAACCGGCGGGGAGGGGCGGGGCGGGTACGGTTCCTGAAAAAGTTGACCCGGGTCGGTCGGTTCGGGCCCGGGCCCGGGTCCGGGTCCAACGGTCCAATTTTTTTAAAAAAAATTGTTGGGCCCCAAACTAGCCGTTATGGCCTTGGGGGGTGGGCTGGGGACAACCCAAATGGCTATATAGCCGTTGGGTGGGGTGCAGGGGGGTCCGGGGGGGTGGGGGGTTGGGGGGGGGGGGGGGGGGTAAAAAAACCTATAAATACTCCTAATCTTAAACATTTTTTCATATCTCTTCTCCAATTCTTCCTAAATCCTATTCTTAACTCTCTACTCTCTTATTCTCCAATATATTATATTTATGATTTATATATCTACTTTATACTTAAGAAGTTAAGATGAAAAATCAAGATGCCATTATACAGTATAATTTTGATAAGCAGAAGGACCCGAAGACCGGGATGTGGTACGCAACTTGCAAATGGTGCAGGAAAAAATGTAACATGGGAGTTTCAGGCGGATACGGAATGACAATGAAGCATATGAAGTCATGTGACAAAGCCAAAGGATCGGGAGGTGTGGGAAGTTCCGATTGATTACAATTTTCAAAATGTTTATCTCTTAAAGTTTGTTTTAATTTTCAAATGTAGTTCCTATTTCATTTCAAATAAATGCACTCGAAGTTTGTTTTTAATACTTGTATAAAACTATAAACTATAAAATATAAATTATAAAAAAAAATGTTAACCGGCCCGGCCCGACCCGGCGGGTGGCCCGACCCGTGACCCGGGCGGGTTGGCCGGCCCGAACCAGACCCGTCCAACCCTCGGGCCGGTCCCAGGCTCATGTCATACAAACCGGCGGCCCGACCGGGCCCGGCCCGAGTCCACGCCTACTTTCTCTCAATGTTAATACCTACAAGAGATGATTTCTTGAAGAGCTTTAAGCAAATTCGTGTTGATAACGTATTGTGAAATGAAGACTAGATTTATGAGATAGATATATTAATAATCTCTCAATTATACTTCTTAATATCTGAAATTTCTGAGTTTACAAAGAATGGAATATGGCCTATTTATACTACCCAAACTTAGAAATGAATCATCTAGGAATGATTCTACATAATTTATTAGCAGTATTGAATCTAGCCATTTGTCTATCCATGATTAGATGGATTGATGCCCTGATTACATGGATTGGAATTTGATGAGTAGTTTGATTAAAAGGATGAACAATCCACGCATGTAATTCCCGGGATTTTACAACAATCACAACGCTTCTTTGTTGGAGCAAGATTTACCAAGATTTTCCTGTCAGCAATATTTAAGCTGAATAAAACAGTATCCGTGATCATGATTGACCAAGTCAAATATCATTTACATGTCAATTACCCATGCTCAGATTAGATTAAGTCCTAAAATTAACAGGGGTAAATCTTTATAAACAGGCATCACAATAACAAGATAATTATAAAAACACTATACCAGACCCTCATATTTTGAAACTGGGTTTTTTTACCCGCTAGAATGCCTTTCTTAACTATAGAGGCTAAATTCCACTTCCATAATTCCACTACCTTTTTCTTCAACATTCACCTAAAACCTGGATGCACATGATTTGTAGCCAATCATGATAATAAGATATAAAAGAGGGAGAGTTGCACTTCATTAGCAGTAGCCAAACCCGCATTACCTAGGATATAATTCCATTTCACCTAACAGATGAGATTAAAAGAGGCAGAATGCACTTCATAGGACAACAATCTCTATTCTTCAACGCTCACCAACTCGTACTCGACCAACGAAAGGTTGTTATCTTCTTTGACGGTGAAGTCTGCAGGTTTGGTTTCCTCAATACGGCCCCATTTGTCCACGCCTAGCCTCATAGACCCCTTAAACATGTCAATCTTGGCATTGCGGAGAATTACAGTGGTTTCTGGCTTCATCACGTCAACTGCAGTCATTCATTGACGTCATTCATCACTACAGCCTAGGCAAATATGCACATATACAACATCCATATTCCGATTCATGTCATGTGATGTGACTAGGTGCAAATTTGCGCATATGGTTAGAAAAAACAGTGTGTATTATAAAAGTGACATTCTCTATACCTTCAATTTTTTTATTCAGATCAAACAGGTCCTACTTAGTTCTTTGTGAACTAACCTATTATTCTCAGTCTAAATATTAGGATAAATGGAAACCACAGATAACCATGGACTGCAACAAGACAGATGAAAATTTCCATTTTGCCGTCGTTGTTGAGGGAGAACAGTCAGAATTGTTCAACAACAACCTCCAAGCCTAAATATTAAAACGGTCAAAGCTCAGAATTGTTAAAGAAGCCTAAATTCAAAAAAATCGTGAAATTTGAGGTAGAATAAGTAGAAGTTTCGTCAAATAGTGAGTTAAGGACATGTTATAGAATTTTTAGAACAGTAAGACCTATTTTGAAATTAACTCGAATAAAATCCAAACAAAAACAATTGTGACATATATTCCTATTAAGTTGCACCTACACCAAGATGTTAGATTTAACTCCATAGTCTAAAAGGTGTCATGTTCAAAAACATTTTGTCCTAAGAAAAATCATGTTCGATACTTTGACCAAGTAGTAATTAACTTTCATGTAATTTTCCAAAAAAAGTCACAAGTGGGTTAAATATGATGTATTTACTTTAGCAGATAAACCATTTAATACTTTTTCAAATTGTACTTAATAATCATACATTCATACTACAAATGTACCGTTTTGAGAGGGAGTGTCACTTTGCTTAAGATTAAGGTGGTACTAACTAGACAATTAATCGGCACTACACACTTCATGCCACGTGCCAATGAGTACTACCCACACTAGTTGGTATTAATGATGTTTTTACTTGGACTGATATTCGATGATCTGCTCTGTTTAAACTTGTTCTGGTTTGGTCTAATGTCTGGAAGTCTGATATGGTCTATTTAAGTCTGGTCTGGTCTGTTTAAGTCAGGTCTGAGACTGAAAACATTCCAAGTAAAAACATTCTAAGGAGTTGTTATCTTTTTGTTGGTGACCAATTCTGAAAATGTTTTTGTGGTAGACATTAAATTTTTTTACCAGATGATCACACTGCAGACTACTTCCTTCTCCTCATTCATAGAAGAGAAGTTTCACTTATAAAGTGTATTCCTTAACATAAAAGAAATGATTAACCAGCCTATCACTACAACATAAAAGAGTATTCCTTAACCAGCCTGCTTTGTCGCGGTATATATCATGATTTATGAAAGGTCAGAGGGAAAGGACCAAAAGATATACAACCAGGCAAAAAGTACAATAACTGCAAATATCAAGATTTCTCACAAATCAACTCGATTAGTGGTGATGTGAACTGAATGACTACATTCATGAAAAACAATTAGTTGATATCAGGGTCGGTTTGAGGATAGTAGAGGCCCTAGACAGAAAAACACCAAGGACACGTTTACTTCACGGATTACTAAACGGTGCTTATTAAGACTCGCGTTAATAAGCGTCGCATAAAATAAGCAGGGTTGTAAGCTCATATTTACTTCAAAGTATTTAAAACATCGTTTAACATTAAAATGTCCAAAATAACCTTATACATATATAGACACAAAAACATTCATGAGCACAAGTATATACGTGGAGTCACCTCGTATGCGTACCCATACCCCTAACCCCTACCCGCCCTATACCTATACCACCCCTAACCTACACCCTAACCCTTCCCTATCCCAACCCCTGCCACGACCTTACACTCTACCCCTACTCCACTACAACCCCCATACCCCTAACCCCTACCCTATTTGTATTCCCGACCCTTGTACTCCCTACCCTTACCCCTACCTCTACCCATTATCCCCTACCCTAGGGTTTGGGTAAGGGTAGGGAGGGGTCGGATCGGGTCGGGTAGGTGTGACCGTGGTTGGAGTGGGGTCGAGGTAGGGGCAGGTTGTGGGAGGTATAGGGGTAGGGTCAGGGAAGGGTTGGGGTGGGTATTGGTCGGAGGTACGTAGGGTAGGGGTAAGGGGTCGGGATAAGGGTAGGGTAGGGTCGGGTCGGGGTCGAGATAAGGTAGGGTAGGGGTTGGGGCGGGGTAAGGGTAGAGGGTAACAATAGGGTAAGGGTACATTCGGAAACTGAAAAAACTTAAAGTGCCGCTTAATTAATACATGGGAGAGTGGTATGCTTAGTAAACGACACTTTAAGCACCTCTTTCAGTTAGTAAGCAGCTTTTTAAGCAGCTTGCGTGTTTACTTCACATATCTTACTAACCTATCTATGACTTTAGCAGCAAAGTAAACTCGTCCCAAGTATTGAGCTCAACAAAATCTATTTTAAAGTACCATTTCATAAGTCGGTCAAACAATTTTATAATCAAATCTCTACATATATATTTATTATTTTTTCTTTGAAACTTCAAACATAAAATTTCGTGTTTTGGTCAAAACAAGACCTGCATATTTATTAAGAAATTCACAAACAAAACAATAACAAAAAGGCTAGATGAAATTTAAAAACAAAAGTCAAAAAATCAAAATAAATGGCTGTTATAAGCTCAAATTAAGTAAATACCCACTTATAATTTTACAAATTAAATTGTTTTAGAGTACTTTTTCAAAATAAAGACAATTTTGTGCATCTTATATTACGTAACACATTGTTACAAACTTTGAACTAACAACAATAAATTAAAAGTAATTCAGTTGGAGAGCAATAAAATTAATAAGTGTAATTATAAAAAATAGGGATGATCATAAATCAATAATAATGGCAACACAAGGCAGCAACTTGTATGATATAATGGCTCTGTCTTTTAATGTACCACCGCTCTATGATCGTTGCTTATTACAAATTTACAAATAAGAGATCAATATGCCGACATAACTATTCTAACTCAAATTTGGAATATCATCATGATTAAAAACACTTCGTAATTACTAAGTGATTTTTTAAAAGATGAGCCCCCCTAGAAATATGAGGCCCTAGGCAATTGCCTTGGCCAACTCCCCATAAAGCCGTCTCAGGCTGATATAGGAGAATAATAGTGGAAAGTAATATGAAAACATTTTTGAATATTTAGGAACCATCTGTTGAACTAAACAAAAATGTCTCATATGGTTTAAATTTACTAGAAGTATTAAACGAAAAAAGATGATGTCCAAGGAAGCTGTTGAATGGGTTTAGCATAGCTGGAGAGCCAGTGATGAGTGAAAAGATAAAAAAAAATACAACATGGAGACATGGAGTATGCCAGTTGGTTATTGAATATCGAAAGCTATCTGTTCTATATTCATAGTGACATCCTTACCAGGCACGTGCATAAATTGCTATAGCACCATTTGGATGTATTATGAACAATGTTACTAAATAAAGGAAGTGTGACATGAAGTGCTGTTCAGATAACAGTATTGTGAAACTATATTAGTATAGGGTTACCAAAAAATTATTATAATTAATAAACTATACTCCCTCCGTCCCTTATAACTTTGTCACCTTTCCTTTTTCGTTACCAAAAACTTTACCACTTTCCCTTTTAATTAACTAAAATGTGGTTCTTATCATTTCTCTCTTCTCTACACAAACCTCAACCACACATTTTTTATTTTATTATTTCTCGTGCTTGTCAAACTTGGCAAAGTTTTGAGGGACAGAGTATATATTATCAAATAAAAGACATTTGTCATATACAGAAGCATCAGGGTGGAATTATAGATTTTTAGGAAGCAATGCTGTTTTGAGAAAGGAATAAAAACTAATTATGAGGTACCTTCTGTTCAATCGAATTCAATATGAAGTTATCACAAAGCCTATCTGAATCCCTATCCGTACATTTACTACGTAGTTCCCAACATATGCATAGAAAAAGACAATTGAAGAATTTACTATTGATAATCCAGACTTGACACCTCTACGCAATGCTAAGTGCTAACCAATCCAAAGTTCAAAGAATATAATCTTTCACAGTTTCACGAAGAGTTAATAAAACTAAAAAAGGGTAGTGCTAAGAACCCTAAACACGAACTTATCAGCGCATCGTCATGAATAACTATTCCTATCCATCAATCAAGCAGTTTATAAAACAAGACGAATCAGCATCCACTGCATACTTAATGCCATTCATAAATACCAAAGCTTTATAGACGATAAAAGTGGGGGGGAAGAAAACCTTGTTCATTACGGGCAGTGAAGAGGATAGTGCCGGTTTCGTCACCGACGAGGCACTCAGCGATGCGAGTGTTCAGAGGAGGGCGACGGAATCCAGTCAGAGACGACGTCGTATTGCGGGGCTTCTTCTCGAGCACTGTGGTAGAGTTCAAGACCTTCACGGTGAGGTTATGGCCGCTAGTCCCGGGTGTTAGCTGTTCCACATTAACGAATACCGGCTTACGCATTGGCGTCTTCACGGGTCCGTCGGCAGCGGAAGGTCGGCGGCGATTAGCGTTCCGGGTAGCCATTGGACGGGGTAATGAGAGGATATAGTTGAATCCGTTGGTTTGTTTTGAAGAGTGGACAGACAGATGAGAAGATGTTGGACCTTTTCAACTTCAAAGAAACGATCGATTGTACCAGAACTCGGGAAGGTAACGCAGTACCCGAAGGACACCGTCCGCTTTAAGGACACTGCTGGGCTGGGCTGGGCTGGGCTGCTGGGTATGTACGACTGTAAACTACTTACCTTTTTTAAATGTGTCAAAAATGTCTTCCTTGGGAAATTATTTGTGGGTTTTGTTAAAGGAAATTAGTTGTAGTGTGCTGTCATAGAATATTCACTGATATTATTTACTGAGCTAATGGGCCCGAGAAACCCAACCCTTGTATAAACCTAATTCTCCTCTACAGCACTTTACCTCTAAACCTAAATAGTTTCACGCCTCCATTCCGACTTCCCCATCGATCATTTTTTCGTTTTTTTTTTGCGCAAAGAAAGCAGAGCTCTGCTCAAACTCATTCAATCCCCTCTATTTCACAAAGCCAGGCAATTGGATTTATATAGTCTTCTGCCTCAATCCACAAAACAACGAACAAAGGAGAGTCGCACAACGTTGGAACTAGTCTTCTGCTTCAATCAACAAAGCACCAAAGTAGCCCGCCGCAGCAAGGTAGAAATCCCTCGTTCCAGGCGCCATCTCCTACACGGCAGCAAGCTTCTTGCCCAATCTCACGACTCTGAATTTTTGAGATGCAATTTTTTATTATAATTCTATATGTTGGAATCATATAGTTGGAATCAATATCATATTATGCATCCGTCTCCCTTTTATACATCCATGTGATCATTTTTCCGTAAAGCTATATGCCATGTACATAGTTAGAATCAAAGATCACACGAATTAATCTTATTTTCATGCATTTTATATGATTATACTTTCCGTAAAGCTATATGTTATACATATATAGTTGGAATATATTATGCATTTTTTTATACATATTATGTGATTATATTTTTCCGTAATGCTGTATGTCACTTACATATAGTTGGAACCATAATCACATAAGATTACTATATTTTATACTCATAAATTATCTCTAGGGCAAAAATACATGTTTAATTTCCCGTAAATCTATATGTTATACTCATATAGTTGGAATTCATGCAGTCCTATTTTTAAACATTTTTTTAGAATACACTGACATGTTTATATTTCTGTAATTCTATATGTCATATACATATAGTTGGAATAACAATCATGCAGTCATATTCTTACTTGTCATATAAATAATCTAAATTAAAGTCTACTTTCCGAAAAAAAATCCATTTATTGTCATACTAATAATTCTAAATGAATTTGGCAATTTTTTTAGTATTTTTTTATAACATACTTCGAAATTTCATAACAATTTTTTTTTAGTGTTATATATTCTAATTTTTTTAATACGTAGTATGTGTTTAAGTATTTAAAAAAAGATAATCTTGTTATTCGACTAACTATCATTACATGTTTGAATTAGCATTAATGGACATTCTATATACGTTATATGTTGTACTCCGTATATTACATATTTTAATGCATAAATTAGGAACATCTAATCATTACCTCAATGCTCTCATAATTTATTATGGAGTGTGTAGCAAATTACCATATATAACTGAGCATGACATAAGTAAAGTTTTTTTTTCTCATTCTTGAAAATATACGATACACCTACATTGTTTTTAAATCTTGAAACTATTTTGTCCTAATTCCCGTTCAATTATATTAAACATTTTTCTAAACAATAAATTACAAATATAATACACTTTACACTGTTCATGGTTAATGTATGTATCATAGTAGAACCATAACCATACGTGTTCATGATATCTTCATGTATCTTATGCATGGTATTATTCCGTAATGCATACACATCATCCACCTATATGTATTTTTTCAACATATATGCATATTAGATTACTAATATATTATTAAAGTTGTTTTTACAAATTAATTTTGGATAATTAAAATTCGATAATTAATTATTTTTATAAATCGAAGTTTGTTTAAAAAAAATCAAAATTTTGTCAAAAGTTTGTTTAGATCCATTTTTTTATAATTAAAATATATGGCAAAATATTTTTTCAATAATTCGACAATATAAATAATATTACTAAAAGGATTATTAAATTCGTCCTTTTTTCAAAAAAAAAAAGAGATATACCTAACCCATTCATTAGACCAATATTAATGCTTTCTATATGAAACACATCATATAACATCTGATAAAAATCTCTATGACTTTTTTTATTAAGGAGATGAACATATATCTCCTCTCTTCGATGCATTATAAAATATTGTCTACAAAGAGACATACCCCTCATGACATTTTTTTATGCGATAAATGGTAGTGAATAACACTCATACAATTTTATATTTTAAGATGACTGATCCAACTCGACCCGAGTTTGACATCCTGGACTCAGAAGGACTTGAGTACCATCGCTGGGTTTCTGACATAGAAACCCACTTTTGTGGCTAAAGACTATTCTGCCACGCTTGCCGACCCTGAAAGTTTAAAAGATAATGCACCGTCTGAAAAAATAAAGGCTGCTGCGTTAATGTTCCTTAGACGCCATATTGACCCTAGCTTACGTTGGGAATACTTACAATTGAAAAACCCCAAAGAACTGTGGGACGCACTAAAAGGTCGTTTTGGGAACATACATGACACATTGCTCCCCGAACTAACAGTGCAATGGAATGAAATCCACTTAGTCGACTACAAAAAGATCAACGATTTTAATAAGGACATGTTACGCCTCAAAGCGCGCCTTAATTTCTGTGGTAAACCAATCACAGAAGATGAAATGATTGATAAGACCCTCTCCACTTTCCCTACCTCAGCACTTATACTAGTGAACCAGTATAGGTTGGAGCATACTAACAAAAGAATAACCACATTTAATCAGTTAATTAATTTGCTCCAAGTTGCTGAAAGACAAAATCAAGTTCTCTTGAATAACAATGTCAGACCAGTTGGGACAAAGAAAATTCTCGAGGTCAACTATGGCAAAGCAAACACCGGAAAGCACCCTAGTGGAAGAGGAGAGGGCCGTACTCGTGGAAGGGGGCGCAACAATCGCGGTGGGCATGGAGGCCGAGGTACGGGCCGTGGAGGATTTTCCAAAGTGTGGAAGAGAGATACAAGCGGCGGGACCAGTGGTCAAACTAACAAGGCTCATAATGCACCATCAAAACCTCCAGTCAAACGAGACCGAGTTGGGGAAGAACCATGTTACAGATGCGGAGTTTCAGGTCATTGGTATAAGAATTGCCAAGCCAGTAATAGAGTTGTTGTTGCCTACAAGAAATACAGAGAATCAAAGGAACATGAATCTCAGTTTGTGACAGACGAAGGAAATGAGGTTGATGTTAACCTCACATTGGCGGATTTTGGTGTTAAAAATAACACCACCCATTCAGTCGATGCACCGGACTTTGATTAATTTTTCCCCTATCCCACCAGACAATTTAAACAAACTTTATGTTTTTCCCATTCCTTTTAATTTCCTGCTTATGGACATTACATGCTTATCATTATTTTAATAATTGGATTCAATTTTTGAAATCCAAATATTTACCAACAATTATCTAATGCATGTTTACAAAGGAATGACCCGAGGAGAACTCGAATGTTTAGTCGATAGTGGGACAACCCACACTATCCTGAGACATAGGCAACTTTTTATTCAATTAGTAGCCTATAAATCCTCTGTGACTACGATGATTGGATCATCGAACGTAATACAAGGGCGAGGCACCGCCAAATTTATGCTACCTAACGGTACCACATTCCACGTCACAGACGCTCTATATGCACCTAGAGCTACTCGAACTTTATGAAGTTTTAAAGATATACGGGATAATGGTTTCCACGTTGAAACTCATAGTGAGGATGGGATAGAATACCTATATATTACCTCTAGTAAAAGCGGAAGAAAATGCATATTAGAAAAATTAATGAGTCAATCTAGTGGACTCTATGTCACTACTATTCGAATCTTCGAATCATATGCGGTCTCCAACAATGAAATGTTGGACATAAACTCGTATAGGCTTTGGCATGATCGTCTTGGTCACCCCGGTCATGACATGATGATTCGAATTCTCAAGAATTCACATGGACACCCTTTATTTTGAGAAAGGGATAAAGAAAGGCGAAAAGTCAACACAGTACAAACTGTTAACCATGCGGCTCCTCCACAAGGACAATTATCTTCTAAAGCACAAGAAGAACTAGCCCATGCTTCCCTAACTATGTCCACATTACAAAACTCATTTTGCAAAGCCTGTTCCTTAGAAAACAGGATCGAGACCATCCTATGCTAAAGACACAAAACAAAACATCCCATTCTTACAAAGAATTCAAGGAGACATATGTGGACCGATCCATCCAGAATGCGGACCATTTAGATACTTTATGGTTCTGGTGGACGCATCAACCCGTTGGTCGCATGTTACCTTATTGTCCACAAGAAATGCTGCATTTGCAAAACTGTTAGCATAAATAATTCGCTTAAGGGCCCACCACCCCGATCATCCTATAAAGTCTATTAGACTTGATAACGCTGGAGAGTTTACATCAAAGACATTTGATGACTATTGCATGTCTATCGGGATCGACATAGAGCATCCCGTTCCCCATGTACACACACAAAATGGTCTCGCAGAAGCTACTATTAAAAGATTACAAACAATAGCTAGGGCATTGGTTATGCGCACCAACTTGCTTATATCTGCATGGGGATATGCAATATTACATGCAACCTTACTTATTCGCTTTCGGTCCACTGCGAACCAACCTCTAGTAAAAGCGGAAGAAAACGCATATTAGAAAAATTAATGAGTCAATCTAGTGGACTCTATGTCACTACTATTCGAATCTTCGAATCATATGCGGTCTCCAACAATGAAATGTTGGACATAAACTCGTATAGGCTTTGGCATGATCGTCTTGGTCACCCCGGTCGTGACATGATGATTCGAATTCTCAAGAATTCACATGGACACCCTTTCTTTCGAGAAAGGGATAAAGAAGGGCGAAAAGTTAACACAGTACAAACTGTTAACCATGCGGCTCCTCCACAAGGACAA